ATATATTAGTTTCCCATATACTGATAAAATTTGTGCACTTTAACCCATCACATGTGAGATGCATCCAGCTGGAGCTAAAGGTCTTTTAAGGTAATTCTTTTTAAGAAAGATCTTAAAAAAACTTTAGAAAGCTTAATAAAGACCTAGAAAGGTGTTTATAAAGACCACTGTAAAATGTAAGAAACTCTGGAAGCAAATTATAAAGAAATTATGGGTGGTTTGAACTCCATATGACAGTATGGGGCTCCTGGAAGAGTTTACCTGAGTTAAATTTGAATTTACTTACTGCAAATGCTTACTTTGCAGAAAAAGCCACTTGTTTTATAACTTAGTCAGATATTCACCAGCAAATCACCGAATTCCACAGAAGCTTTTACAATATGTAAATGTTTTTACATCAAGTTGCAGCTGCTTAGATGTGGTAAAACCTTTCTTTTGAAACAGACCTGTGGTTCTGAGTCCAGTAGCAGCAAACAGGACTTTTAGAAGTTACAGAACGTATTTATTTCATTTTTTTAAGGTGAAAAGTTGCAGTTTGTCTTTCGAAACATCAACCCTTCTGATCAGAACAACGCGTATGTCATCACGATGGGGATTAAAGAAGACAGATCGTACCAGAGTAAGTCACACAAGTCCATTGCATTAAAAAGACAAATACTTATTGTAAATTTTGAGCTTTTTAAATATGTTCTCTATATATTTATTTCTTTTTCTTTTTTATAAATAGTTGTGTCCAGTGACCCAGTGCTCGACTGTTTGCCAGTCTTGGAAAACCGACTTCAGGAGACCAATAATTTACCAGCATTCCTGGCAAATGTCAGGAAGGAGTTTATCTCCAAGGCATGCTGCTGAGCTTGGCCACTTCCTGTAAAAACCTGCTGTGATGTTTTCATTATTGACCAAAGGCAGGGAGGATACAAAGTACAACTGCCTTGTTAGGGTTGACACTGAAGTCTCTGTGCTTCATGGCAGGAGTTTCATCTTGTTAACAATTTACTTATCATTTTGGTTTTATTCGGACTAAGTTGTGGAATGAATTCACAGTTTTTTTTTATCCAGTTGAAAATCCAAAAGAACCATTCAAATTTAAAAGCTTTTCATTTATTGTGTTTTTAGCATTGCTTGTGTTGCAAAAAATAAAGATCATACACTTTACCAGTTCTAATGTTTAAATCTATAAAATGTCACAATTGAGCTTTTCTGTATAAAATGCATTAAAAATATTTTTTAAAATGTCATCAACATTGTAGATTTGTGCAGTGTTTGTAAAACAAGCAGAAAAGTAGTCCTAAACCAGGCTCTTTCTTCCCTCTGCAGCAGCTCTTTGAAGCTAACTTTAGCAATTTGTTTTTTGTCAATTCGTTTGAAAATATGTGCTCGATAATACGAGTGAAACATGTTGATTAGTAGGGGTGAGAATCTTTTACTGTCTCACAATTTGATTCTGACTTTTGGGGCCACGATTCGATTCAAAATCGATTTTTTTAAAATTCAAAACTGATCATGTGAGCCCATTTGACGTGCTCTCTAAGTGCTTCATCTTCATTTTGCAAATCTTGCACACAGTGAAGCTCATGTCAAACTCGGACTCTTTCAGTAAAAACCAAAATGAGCACAAATCTTTGCATTCAACGAAGACTCTGTCAATTGAATCTCCCTTTCTTCCAATTTTGTAGTTTCCTCTTTGTTTTGGTGCTTTCTGTGCATGCATACCTTCCAGAATCGGCTGCATGGTGACATTGGGACCTCCCAGTTACAAAATGAAGGCTGACAGCCACTGGATTTGCTTTACTTTTTTATTTTCAAAAATCGCTTTTAGGACATTTTAAATTGAGTCTGAATCTTTGTAAATGAGAATTGTGATTCTGATGTGAATCGATTTTTTGGTGCACCCCTATTGATTAGATCATGTTGTAGACTGTAGGCCACTTTAATAATCCAATTTCCAGCTTTAAAGTGTGATCTTTCTCTCAAACCTATCAGGATTACGTTTAAAGACTTTAAAGACTAGATAAAAATAAATATGCCTGCATAGTTTAGTTGTAGCTTTTATTAAATTTGGTATAAGCTATACTGTATTTACATGAATATGGTCTTTTTTTAAACTTTAGGATAACTAAAGTGTAAAAATATGAACAAAAGTTAAAATTCACTTAATATTTTTAGTTTTATAAAGTCAGCCCCTCTGGCCGGAATGGCCCCCATTCAACAAACTCAAAGTGGCCCAAGGACCACCAGTTGATAATCACACCTGGAGCGTTTTGCAGCTCGTGACATTTTAGTGATCCAGGGAAAAGGTTGCAGACCCCTGTCCTAAAATGGTTATCGTTGGATGTTGGCAGATGTTAAATGTTTTGTACAGCTGATGTATAGTTTAGTTGAGCCGTGCTGTTTTGTGGTTTTGCTCTTCATCAGTCTGCTCGTTCAGGCATCAGATGACTTGCTTTGGTTTATCACTGGTAGCTCTTCAACATAGGTCGATGGGAAATGACCTTTCTGGCCGTTAATCATGCCAAACCACCAACCATTATCTCCCTTGGTGCAAACGTCCAGAAGATCGCCTGTGAAACAAGTGACTTCATCAGTTAAAGCATCACTCTTTACTGGAATGAGCTGCTTTAGATGACCTTCTTACCTTCTTTCAAAGCCAATTCATCTTCATGTTCAGGTGTGAAATTGTACAGGACCTTGCATTTTCCTACACTGCCCAGCTCCTCTGTTTTATTTGAACATTTACAGGTTTAATTACATGTTGCATGTCCGGATGTCATTAGAAAAAAAAATGTTTGGATGCTAAATAARTTACCTTGTCCTTCATGATTTGTGTCAGACAGAGCTTTGTCATTGTTGCTGCCGCTCTCCATCTTTTCCTCCGATGTAGTGGTAGAAGTGGCCGGGTCAGTAGCTGTTGGTTTGGGCTCCACAGGTGGTTGTGTTAGACTCTGAACCGGGCCTTTGCAGATGATGGAAGCTCTCAGAGACTGTCGGGATCTGAATGGCGTTCTCCTCAGTTTTACTGGGCGAGTCACTTGAACGACGCTGTGCTCACAGTCCTTAGAGGAAAAAAGGGGTTTGGTCTACATTATTTTGAATTAGGAAGAAAAAAAATCCCACATGTAATTCTTCATGTGAGTGAAGAAAGGATCATTTGCTTTTAAAACTTTAATATTATACTGGATTATGAGGGTGTTTCAGTGTTTTTTTTTTTTATTTTCTGTATGCTTAGAAACCGTTGAGAGATACATGTGGACTAAAAACTGGTTGCTGCAACAAATAAAAGATTTTTCAGCATTTCTCACTTTGCTGAATTTCTTGTGAACATTCGGCCCCATTAATTTCCACTAGGATTTCTTTGTTCAGATAAATCATTAATTATTTCTGAAACAATGTGGAAAAACAACATCACAGCAGTCAAGTAAAAAAAAGCCACTTATTTTAAGCCCTTCAAACCGTCTTTCTATCAAACCATGCACAACCAGCTCATTGGGGGAAAAATGTGTTTGTAACAGTAATTGGAAACCATACTGTTCTCACTTCAAGTTGAAGTTCTTCAACTGCAGATGTGATTGAATCTGAACAATGTCTTTACTCACAATAGATCTATGTTTGTACCTTCAATAGTCTTGTACAGATTAGAGAAATATTTGAAATGTCACTGTGAAAACCTAAACTTTGAAGTACGCCTGACACTTTGCCTACAGTGCACAGCACAATAGTCCTAACATAAAAATTTCATTTAAAGGATCAGTCAAAAAAGCAGCTGTTAAATACAGTAATTAAAACAACAAAATTAAAGAAAAATGAAAACAGGTGTGTTTGCAATTAACTATTTTCTGCAATAGCCTATATTGAATGTTCTGTTATTTCAAGATAAGGTTTTATTTCATTATCTACAGAAAACGTTTTGTTTTCTCCAGATAATGTGATGATTAATGTGTAAATGTGTTGAGTGAAACTCTTGTTTAAAATTATCTCCTGCTTCCTAAGGCAAAAAGACAAAACCATTGCCTGTGTTGATTGTGTTAGCAAAATATCTAACACACTACCAGACATTTTAATCTCACAGTGAGTAATCGTTGAATTTATCCTCCTCAGACCCAGAAGAAAAAAAGGTTTGGATATCTATCTATCTATCTATCTATCTATCTATCTATCTATCTATCTATCTATCTATCTATCTATCTATCTATCTATCTATCTATCTATCTATCTATC